ATGAGCCATTTCCTTGAGCTTAAGCTCTCTCCAGGTAGCCATACATACATGTCATTAGTCCTGCTTCCCCAGAGAACCTAGCCTAGGATCTCATGCAGCAAATATTTGGCTTTCTAAATACTTAAGACATCCACAGAGCTGGGATGTTATACATACGACACTCAGACAGACTCTGGGGATTTAGTGGGTGGGGTCCCTACCTGAAGGGAGCACTTGGTCTAGAGGTCTCACCATGGGGTTTCTCATTGCCACAGAGTAGAACAACACCTTTCTTGCTACAACCTCTTCAACCCCCACCAAACTGACCACATAGACTAAATTCAGATGTCATCTCCTCCAATAGCCTTCCCTGACACTGCCACATATAATGGCACTGACACTGTGTACACATTCTTCCTCACTCTATGCTGCCTCTCTGTGCCCTCCCATTCCCTGCACAGTCAGTGTTACTGGGTTTCATTATATAGTGGCACTATTGAATGGCTCTGTTCCACAACACTATACTCTTCTTCTGCCCTGCACACAGGAGAGACTTTGAAGAGTATGGGCATTCTCGGCTCTGCCCTCTCTCTGCACAGCCCCCAGATCTGCAGGGGAAGCAGCAGGGAGCCCCTCAGGGTGTTCCTTCCTTTTGAAGCAGCAGCATATGGCTGAGCACCGCCTCTGCAGCATGGCCTGGACTTCCCCTGGGCTCCCCCAGCACAGGTGCCCACTCTCCCCACCGTGGACAGCTGTGGAGTCACTGGTTTCCCTGAGCCTTGTTGCCAGGATCTCTCCTGGGTCTGCTGGAACATCTTCTTCTGGTGAAAGAAACCCTAGTTCTTGTACTGCCACCTCCAGTTAATTCCTGGGAGTTGTCAGAGGTGGCATCTATGGGTAATTGCCCCACTAAGGCAGGCTTTTCTTCCCTCCCTTGGTCGATGCCCTCAGATTCCAGTCAGAAAGAAATCGCTGTCAGACCATTGCTAGGGCAACAGACACCAAAGGCTGTGGGAGATTTTCTGTCCTCTGCCTCCAGTCTTTTGGCCAGCAAATACACGTAGCAGTCCCCATGATGACTTTAGTTCATTCATTCCGCGGATACTTTTCTGTCAGGTACTCATTTTTCAGGAGACAAGGCCCTGGCAAACTATTGCCATGGTCCGAATCTAGCCCACTGTCTGTTCTGTGAATAAGGTTTCTTTGGAACAAGCCCCATCATTTTTGACATACTATCGATAGCTGCGTTCACTGAAAAACCATACTGGCTTTTCCTCTCTTCACCGGCAGACCTGCTTCCAGATGTACCATTTGCCAGTCATGCAGCTTCCCGGCAACCCTTCAAGGAAAGAACTGTGGGGCCTGTTTGGAGGAAACTGAGTGTCATAGAGGTCAGGTGATGGAAAGCTAAAGGCAGCTTTTAAAAAACATTTAATGACAAATATTTTACTACCCAATAAAGTGAGGAAGTGTGTCACTGAGCAATTTAGATGATATGTAAATACTGTGTAAACATTTGTAGATATGCAGTTAGTCTCTGGTTGGGAAGGTCCAGATTAAGGACAACTCATTCTGGCCCTTTAATGTTAGTTGTTAGTAAACCTGCCATCACTTTGAAATGACTGAGCCAACTCCTATTTGGACTGTGTTCTTTACCTGGGGACTGCCTACCTTCTAAGGGACAGCCTAGAAATAATTGCATCAAAATGTTAATAGTGTTTATCTTAGTACCAGGACTATGGTGATTGTAATTGTATTTAATTTTTTAAATTTCCCCCCGAGTTTCTTCAAAGTGGCGTTATTTATGTAATAGATAAATACATTTTATTAAAAGGTGGGTCAAGTGATAGGATGTGGCATTTCATAAGTAGTAAAACCCTGGGGAGACGTGTTGCCGGAAGAGGCACCCGGAGGGTAGAGAACGCTCAGCAAGACGGCTCCTGTGGGGTTCTGGCATGACAGGAGCCTGGGCATCATTCTCAGACCTCTAAAAACACCCACGCTCTCTTCAGTCCAGTCGATTCCAACTCATAGTGACCCTGAAGGACAGAGAACTGCACCACAGGGTTTCTAAGTCTGTAGCAGACAACCGCGTCCATTTCCTGCGGAGCAGCTGATGGGTTTGAAAGGCTGACGTTGGGGTTAGCTGCCCAACACTTAACTGACTGTGCTGTTAGGATTCCCTGTAAAGCAAGTGAAAATACAAGTCTTGACCTCTTTCCCATGGAGATGGTTCTATAGATTTTTTAGGAAAATCACAGCTCTGAAATACACGATCACTTGCAGAGCACATTTAAGGAGGCAGTCTTAAAGTCAGCAAATTCATTTGTATTAAAAAATGCCAATAAGTGCCCATTGTTAAGCCTTTGCAGGCCAGCCATTGTGCTAAATGTTCAGCATTATATCTAATTTCATAATATTCATGGGAGGAGAGAACCTGCCATCCAACTCTACAGCAGAGGTGGGGAATGTCTGGCCTGCGGCCCATACAAAGCTCCTGAAATCATCAGTATCAGCTAACGTCACGCCTCACCAAAGAGAAGCAGTGCCAGCCATCACCTTAGAGATGAGTTAATCAAATGTTGGACCCTATGGCCCAAGAATGATGTTTTAAACAGCCAAGGGCAGAAAAAGGGCTCTCCACCCCTGCTTTACAGAGAAAGAACCAGGGTTCAGATCTATTGTACTCCCCAAACTTATGCTTACTATCCTGCCCTTTCCCCATTCCTTAAAGGCATTTCTCATAGGTGGACTCCCCTGCCTTAGTTGTTAATGGTTGTCAGCTCCAACTCTTGATGCCCCCATGTGCACCAGAGAAGTCTACTCCATAGGGTTTTGTCTGTCTGTAGAATCCCATCTCCAGGCCTTTCTTTCAAGGTGCCTCTGGTGGGTCCAAACACCAGCCTTTCGGTTTAGGAGCCCAGCAGGACTGCTCTGCACGTCTCCTTAGCCTTTCTTCTATGTGTTCTTAGTTCAACTATCACTAGTTGCTCAGTACTGCCATTAGGTTTAAATTGACACCCTCAACCCTTGCCCTTCTAGTCTGGGGCAACCTCATGAACAAGGCACTGCTCGAGCAAGAGAGGGAAATGACTGCCCAGACCTCACTACAGCCCCTTCGCTTGGCTCACCAAGCATAACTCATAGAACAGAATGCATGAGCTTGCTGTCCTTAATTTCCTATGGCTCAAAGGTTTGTTTGTTGGTTGGTTTGCTTTTGGTTTCATTTGGTGACCATCTGGAAGCCCAAAGCTGTGATGTGTGACTATGGGGGAGGCTGGTGGTGACTTGCTGCTTTTCAGCTGTTCTGCATGATGAGGGTTGTAACTTCTCTCCTTCTGGGCACAGATTGATGGACAAGCTAGTACTGATGGTTCAAGACTCTGGGTCTATGAACGTTTGGTTACTCTAACTGTGCCACGTCATTGGCAAGGAAAAATTCTGTTTTCAAAGTGATTGGCATCTTTACAGTTCTCCACTCTGCTTGGTGCTGAAAAGAGAGAGGGGCTAGCTAAGTACTGAGATGGCAGAGAGACTCTATGCTACAGGACGGCCACCTAAGCCAGTGCAGAGCGATGAGGCTGAGTTTGGGTTCAGTGTGAGGCAGGGCTGGGAGACCTAAACTCTCTAACTGGAAAGCCCTCTAGAGCAGTGGTTCTCAACCTATGGGTCACAATTCCTTTGGGGGTCTAATGACCCTTTCACAGGGGTCACCCGATTTATAACAGTAGCAGAATTAGTTATGAAGTAGCAATGAAAATAATTTTATGGTTGGGGGTCACCACAACATGAGGAACTGTATTAAAGGGCCAAGGCATTAGGAAGGTTGAGAACCACTGCTCTCAAGGGAGGAACGTTCTTTGCCTTCTGTTAAGGATTGAAAACAGGCCCACAAGAGGAAGTCACCTGCATGTTGGGTCTCCTCCATCCAGACCAGAGCATAGGCCGCTTGGTGGATGGGGACACTCCACCTGACAGCCTCTTTGTACAGAGGACCTTCTCCCAGCTCCCTTGTTGAGGCTGCTGTCCCTCAGCAGGGCCCCTCAGCTCCACCCTCCCAGAGGCCCCTCCTCAGAGGTGTGAGTCCCAGGCACATAATTGCTCCACCTTCACTGGGCCAGGAACTGCTTTTAATGACGGTCTCCCAGGGTTCACACAGCTGGACTCTGTCTGTGCCCGCAGGTTAATGACAGGCTTAGTAAGTCAGAAATCAAATAAACACACCAACTCCCAGCAGCTGCTCCAAGGAGAAGAGTGGTTTCCGGGAACCTTGGGGCCCGAGACAGACCTGCCCACCCGGCTCAGTTTAATTACCACCTGTCACTCCCATGGGACAAAGGCCTTGTCATGGGTCTGGGAAGGAGGACATGACTCCTGGGCAAACAGGTGACACAGGCTTTTGTGACCAGCTTGGTTTAGATGACTGGGCACCACAGACCCTGAAAAGCCCTGCCCTTGTGTCTTCCCCACCGATCACCCAGCATGGTAGACACGAATGTGATCTGGGTGGGACGGACTGCCCTAGGATGGCAGAATATATCAAGCAGTTCTAACTTTACATGCTCTCTTTGATATCTTGGTACCAGGCTGCTAGGTCAATCATTTTGAGATTCTGTCCAGATCCAGGAGAGAAACTGTCAAGACAGACTGCTGATGTCTGCCACAGAAAAGGATGAGGGGAATGGTGGCCTGTGTGCTGGGTTACCCGCCATGCTGAGCTCAGCTCAGCCAACAGATAACTTCACACCCCACCTCCCTGTGGGTCAACATGGTGGTGGGGAGAGATGAGTACATGAGAAGCCCCAAGGTTCTGGCCCTACAATGGCCAAATGCCCTCCTACTGAGCATCCTCTCCAGTCACAGAGGCAGATGTGAGGCAGGAGAACATATGGGAAGACGAATGCCATCAGCTGTAGCCCTGAATCATGCTGCTCATCATTCAATTCTTCTTGAGTTGACCCATCTGTCTATCCATGGACAGTGGTTTGGTAATTCAGATCCATGAATATGCAACACCAAGGGCAAGTCCATGTTCTTTATTCTCTAGAGATGCCCAGTGTTGAAGCTGGGAAGGACAGGCTGTGGGGTTCTACCTGAACCCTGTGAAGAATGGAGTAGGACCTGGATAGGCCAATCTTGGGTCCCAGGTGCCTTCCAGGTCATCCCACAGTGAGAAGTCTGGTAGGCCCTCAGACAGGGCTTTTGTACCAGCCCTGGAGAGCCCAGTCAGCATGTGCTCCTGGGACTGCAGGATAAGATGGAACCCTGCCTGATGACTAGGAGCCCCAGGGCTGGAAGCAGAACAGTGCCTCACAGCCCTGGGCTGGGGTGGGGTGGGGATTTGTTAGTCCTGGAGCAGACAGAATCTGGCATGAAGGCGGCAGGGGCATGGACATGTTGACCCCTAAAGGGCTTCCTTTCCACCCTGCCGGAACCACGGCCACACTTATGGATTTCCTGCCTGTACAGCCTCCCATGGCCTTGGCTCAGTGGGGCGGTGGGTGGGCTCAGTGGCAGCCGCAGGCCTTGACCACCATGTTGCGGTGCTTGCGCAGGATGACATTGTTGCTGCTGTCGTAGTAGAGCACTGAGGTGGCGCTCAGCTTGGTGGGAGCGCAGCAGGCCTTGGGGACGGCATCGGGCTTCATCAGATGCACCTGGGGTGGGGGAGTCAGGTGGAGGGACAGAAGAGCAGAGGCCTGAGCGTCAGGCTCCTCCCAGGACCAGCCCACCTACTCTCAGCCCCACCCAACTTCCCACCATCACCACACCACACCCGTCCCTCCACCCTCTCTGGTGGTCCCAGCAGGTGCCAAAGGGCACAGCTGACTCTGGAGATCCACGCCCTCAGGATGCAGCCTAAGCCACTGGCTTGGTGGGCCTGGCTTTCTGCCCCAGGGCCACCCACCATGTCCATTCTTGCTGACCCAGAAGCACCTGCAGCTGAGCCTACTGCAAGGAATTATCTTTGGCCGCTCCCCTCCCCATGCCCCTGGGGAGCCATCCATGGTGCCTTCTTCATGTCCCTCATCACATCCTGTCTGCATCGTGTGGGTCTCCCTCCCCATGGAACATTCTAGACGTGCCAGGCTCACCCTTGCTGTGCTCAGCATGATTATCTAAGTACTTGGTACCCTCGTGACAACTTCTGAGACAGTACTGCTGTGTGCAGAAGAGGAAACTGAGGCACAGAGGCCAGGGCTGAGTCCAGAGTCCCAGGGTAATTTGGTGGTGGGGCCGGGGCATGGCCTAGGTCAGTGGTCTCTCTACCACACCCTAAGACAGCTTTCACCACCACAAAGAACCTGCTGGCAGAGCCTTTTCATCCCCGAGAAAGACTTCGTAGAATGAGCTGCCATTTATACCAAAGGTCCCCAAGGTCACACTGCTGTCCACCAGGGTCAGAGAGATGGAAGGACATCTGCTGCCCTCACAGGAGCCGCTGAGCAGACTCTAAAGGCAGCAGGAACCAGCCTCGGTCCCCGGGGGGCCCTCTGAAGAGGCCATGTGACAGACACCACCCACCTCTGCCCACTGGGCAGTTCTCCAGCCTGGGAGCCAGGGAGGGTCACTGCTGAGCTGGGACCCTTGAGAGGAGTCAGCACCATGGGCCAGAGCCCATCTGTGACTCAAGCAGTGTCTCATTGGATGAGTGACAAAGAGACGCGGTCCTTGATACCTTCCAGTACCAACCAGACTGGCCTGTGGCATCTGACGGCCATTCCTTCCCTCCCCTCCTGAGCCATGTGCATGTGGGACAGCTGCTCAGACGCTCTGTGACTGGTGGGCTGTACATCCTTGACTAGCAAGCTCGCATGCCCAGGCCTGTGTTCTCCTCTGCCAAGTGGGTGCAGTGATCCATTTCTCATTTCCAACACAATCATAGGTCTGACCCTGGCCTCATGCCGGCACTGGTGGCATGGAGACTCGGAAACATCCCAGCCACAGACATGGCTCTCGTGGCCTCAGTGGGGAGTGGATGGGCAGAAGGGCAGCATTCTAACCAACAGAGAGCCCATAATACGAGCAGGCCCCCAGTGCTGAGTAAGAGGTGCTGACCGCTTGTGCCCAGAGGGGGGCAGTGGGGAGGCTTGCAGGGCCCTCCAGGTGCAAAGACAGGGGGTGTGGGACTGT